CATGATGGATGTGCTTCTGCCAGAGGTACATGCTGAAAATGTTTATGTATCACATGAAAATATTTTGTAGCAGTACTGTTGTCAGTCTATAACTCATGGATAATATCTTGTTACCTGCAACATGACAGACTAATGTCTACATGAAAGATGTCCTTTTGTTCACCTCATTACTCAGGCAACCATCCATGCGCTTTCAGCTGTCCATAAATGTTGACGGACAAAGACACAGAAATGTACGGCAGTGGGCTGCAGTATGACTGGAGGTATTCTACAAACACAAGAACAGGGCTAATGCCTATATGTATTGTTTTCACATTGTTTATGACAGCCTCTAGGTGTGAATGTCATTTTTACTAGGGATGTAAGAAAATATCGATATGGCAATATATCGTGATATTTTTTCCAGCAATATTATATCGATATTCAAAAGCCGTTATCGAAAATATTGATATGGCAATATATCGTGATTTTTCCCCTGCGATTATTACATCGATATTCAAAAGCCGTGTATCTAATCTTTGAAAGAATTTACATGCAAACATTTGTGTATTTACTTTTCGTTTGGTGCAATTCAATCGCCACCCGCTAGTTGGCAGCAGTGTGCAACGGGTTTTGTTTCCACCATTTAAAATGTAAATCCCTCCATCATGGTTCAGATACCTCATGTTAAACATGTTACGTATCAGTTTGGACAGTTTATTGAACATTCTTACAATAAATTCAGTAAAAAAATTGCTTGTAACGTCTGACTGAATGTATTGCAATATATCGTGATATATCGTATCGTCTCCCCTGTATCGTGATATGTATCGTATCGCCAGAATTTCAACGATACACATCCCTGATTTTTACTAACTGATATTTATCTTTGTCTCATTAGTGAGAGGCAGCTGATGTCCAATGGCATGGAACTGCTCATATACTCGGAGAAATTCAGAAAAGTTCTGGACTCAACTGAATTTTTGAAGAGGCTGTAGTATTGTGTTGACTTTTTTTTTTTGGAAGGTATTTGTAAGGCCAATAAAAGTTGTTGCTGGTTGTTTCATTTGTCTGAACTTTTTTTCTGAAGCAAAACTTTTCTGCTTTTGTGTTTACAGTATATTTTTTAAAGATTAGTGTATGGTCAATATCAGTTTACTAGTCTTGTGAATTGTATACTTAATGCAAAATATTTTAGTAATTTCTAAATCAATACATTTTGTGTCAAAGGGCCAGCAATTATTCCTGTTAACAGAATATATGAAATGCATATATACACATGTAAATATGCCTAAAAATTACACATCAGCAGCTTTTCACTGTAAAGAAGCAATAAAAAATCATAAATGGTGACATAAATATTAACTACTCACTCGTATTGACTTAGACCCACTGTATTGACTTAGACCCACTGTTAGTGCCTGTAATAACAAATGTTTGAAAGTTAAATGTTGCTGTAGGAAGCGTGCTCCCACATAAATGGAGGCTAGTGGGCTTAAGGGGTTAATTAAAACTATTACCACTAATTACTTTTTCTGATATTTTATCTTATTGCATTTAAAATAAACACTTGCACATACATTACTCACCTGCTAACTTAAGTAAGCATAGGTATGTTGCGCCTATTGTCCGGCAACTGATTATTTGTTGGTGGTATCTGTGTTTTATAATCCCACTGGGGATGGACAAAAAGTGTGTATGCAAGAAAAAAAAATCCATGCATTCATATTTAAATCTGGAGTCCTGTCTGTTTAATTACATTGTTACTATTTCTGTATAAACGTATTATTTCAATTGTATTGTTCGCATTGAAAGGCGTTTGACAAAAAGGAAATTGTTTAGGGGGCTTGAGGCTGGGTGCTGCACCCTGGATCCGACCCAGGAATGAGCTCCCCTGCCCCGCTGGGAGGGTTTGAAACACCGCCATCACCTGCTGGAGCCTGTGGCGGGCTGCTGCGGACCGGATCCAACCCAGGAATGAGCTCCCCTGCCGCGCTGGGAATTAAAACCACAGCCCGATCACCTGCTGGAGCTGACAGTGGGATGCTGCGCCCTGGATCCGACCCAGGTTTAAGCTCTCCCCGCCCGCTGGGAGGGCTGCCGTTATTGAGATATTTCCCTTTTCTGACCACCAGGGGAGCTCGGGGGAGCTCAACAGGCACATGGGGGCGTGTTTGGTCGGGGGCGTGGTTTGTCGGGGCTGCGTCTGCAGCTAGGTATTATTGGAATGGATCTTGCACCCAACCCAAGTAGATCTTGTACCGACACCGGCCCTCTTGCTTCTGGATCTTTTTTGAGAGTGGCCCTCGGACCATTATAACTGAGGACCCCTGGTGTAGGTGCTGTACTATTTGAGCTAAAGCAGTTCCAGTGTCGGGCAGGTGCTGAAAAAATGCATAAATCTGGCTTTGTTTAAGTTTCACAAATCAGGGAAATTTTTCACAAATCCCAAACAAAATTTTATGCAATCTACTATTATCGTAGAATAATCTAGAACAGGTTTGAACAGTGTGGGAGTTGTAGTTTCAGAGATAGAGCAAAGATTTTCAGAGTAGAGAAAAATTGGGTGTAATGGCCCTTTGGCCTCGTGGTTTCCCGCGTTAATTTCAACTCTGCTTCTCTCGGGTCTGCGGAGATTCTGCGATCGTAAATAAGCCAAACTGTTTGATTTACCTTGAATATGTCGTCTGGGATCAGTTTGTGGTCCTTGAGCTGGCTCAGAAACGTGTACGGTTTCTCCATTAGGGACATCTCTGTCTTACTGCGGCGGAAGAACCGGAGCAGTTCGTCGGGCTCCAGGAAGTCCAGCGGGTCCATCTCTGGTCAACAACCCAGTTTCTGCGAGTTTGGCCACTAAAAACGGTCCAGCGGAGTCTTTTACTGCGGCACGAGTACAAATATAAACTTAAGAGGTTCAGTGTTAAGGAACCAAACCAGGAACGTGCTGCTGCGGGATTACTCAACAAAGAAATCAGGTGTAATCTGACTTCTGGCCAGATGTGACGTTTAGAAAGTGAAAGTTATCGTAAATATGGCAAGCCAATTTTAGATTTAATCATCGCAGCACGTTTAGTTTGTAATAACATAATTGCTGCTTGTCAAAACTCTCATTATTATTATTATTACTATTATTTGTCCGTACAATGTATTTAAATAGTAAATTCTTGTTGACATTATGTACAAATTATTTGGTTTAAGACGTCTACAAAAAGGAAATTGTTTAGGTTTTTTTTTAAACATTGATAGCCAGAATGGAGCAACAGTTCAATTCCACCTACTCAAAATAAACATTTAAGATATCTCGAACATAAATCTTTCTAGGAAAACAATGTGAAACAATCATAGAATAAGATTTAGCTTTATTGGACATGATTGTTACACTACCAAGAAATTTAGTTTCAGTTTCACATGATCCCATCATACAAATGGGATGGATAACCACAGACATCAAGAATAGACCCTGCAAACGCCGCTACAGCCTCTTGGTGCTGATGATTGGCGGGGCTCCCATCTTACTGGTCTCCCACTTGTCTTTTTGACAGACGCAATGAAGAGTTAATCAGTCATAACTCCTGGAATACTAAATTTATTTTCATGCATTTTTTTTCTGCAAACATCTGACATGTTACTTTGATACAGGACATTTGGTTTGGCATGTGGGCTTAATAGTCATAAAATATTCATCATATATGTAAAATACAGTAGAAGTACAATCTGTATAAATAGAGATGCAGTGGAGAGTTATGGGGGACTTCCTAAGTTCTGCTGCAAGATGGATGCCCGATTGTTCCTCCATACTTTAAAGAAATTCCTGTGGATAAAGTTACTGCCGTCCGGCTCTCTACCCACCTCAAAACACAACAACTCCCCTACTTTCTTTGCACACACTTCCTCTCACATAAGGTGATTTAAGCGGATTTATTCTTGACATTTGCTGTACCTTCTAGAATGAGCTGTTTTAAATGGTAAATGGTCTGTATTGCATATGGCCTTCTAGAGTCCTGGAACCCCCAAGGCGCTTTACATTCACACGCTGGTGGAGATGAGCTGCGATGTAGGGTTAGGGCGCACTGACAGAGGCGAGGCTGCCGAACACTGGCGCCACCGGTCCCTCCGACCACCACCAGCAGGCAATGTGGGTTAAGTGTCTTGCCCAAGGACACAACAACAGCGACAAACCAAGCGGTGCTCCAACCTGCAACCTTCCAGTTATGGGGCGAGCTCTTAACTCCTGTGCCATCGTCGCCCACACCGTTTTAGGGCTCCGTCACTTTAAGAAAACAAGTTGGATCTGACCCCCCCCCCCCCCCCCCCAGACTGCTGAAAGCTGAGAAGCTCCGAAATTCGGGAGGAGTTCAGAGTAGTGCCGCTGCTCCTCCAACTTGGAGAGGTGAGAGGTGGTTGTGTGATAATTTCCTCGTTGGTGACATCACAAACGGGGACTTTTTGAAACGGCTTGTTTTAGACACATAATTCCTACAACTGAACACTGGCAGAAAACGGATGGATAGGTTTTTTATGTTTGGAGTGTTTATAGAGGCAGTAGCAACATGGTAGCACAAAAAGATGCAAAAGGTGAGTTTTGCATAATATGTCCCCATTTCGTAAAAGCCTTCCATAAATGCTTTCGTAAAGGCTGTAAAATGGTGTTTCGTTACAAAATCCAAACGCTACAAACGGACTGATGGGGAGAACCCTGAGACATTTTACAAACGGTAGTTTGAATGCCGAATCAGTATTTAAAACCCTGTTGTAATTAAACATGAAGAACTACGTTAAATAACAAAATGTCTGTGTGTAAAAGGAACTGAAGAATTAAGCCCAAATGATGAACAACTGTTTGCTTTCAAAATGATTGAATTCATATTTTAGTTTAGTCATTAATTAGTTAACATGGTTTAAATATTCATCCTAACAGCTGGGAGCAGTGGAGCTAATGAGGCCCATAAGGAGCCCACCGAGGGCACTCTTTCTCCCAATGTGATCCAGAACACTTGAAACATTGCTTATTAATTCACATTAATAACACAAGATGCAAGTAGAAAATATATAATTTATTAATTTGTTTTTTTCTTTCAGTCGGGCCAATGATCGCCGTGTTTTTTTAAATCATCATAAATGACATCGGTGTGCTTCTCCTGACAAGTCTGAACGGCTCTCAGGACCGCCGCCAGGCGTCGGTCCAAAGCAGACAGGTGTGGTTCAGAGAGAAGGGGGGCCACGGCCCCCAGAGGATCCAGGTCCAGTGATTCCCGCACAACGTCACTCAAACGAAACTCGGGGAGGGACAAGAGACGCAGGCGGAGCAGGGTGGAGCGACGGATCCTACCAAAACAGAACACAAGGTAAGTAGATATGTTTCAGACACTCTACTAGATATCTTAATCCCAAGGAGCATCAATCCCACGTCTAGACTAAAACCTAATCACTCATCCTCTGAACTGCACATTCCTCTCTAGCCACGTGGGAGCTGCATGGTGCCCAACGTTGCTCAACAGTTGAGAGGCAGGGGACACCCTGGACAGGTCTCCAGTCCATCACAGGGACACCCGAAGACGACCACTGACTCACACACTTGCACCTGGGGATAATTTAGCATGATTTTGTCCGTTGAAGTAAACGAAGACAAAACCCAAACATGCATCCAGAGAGCACACTAACTACGATTGAAGACTACTGCTGGGATTTGAACCTGTGACCTTCTCGTTGTCAGGCATCAGCGCTACCAGCTGCGCCACCATGCAGCCTGAGAAAACAAGTCACCTCACCTTAACATTTTGTGTTTATTCACAGTTTGGACAAATCCTCTTCACTTTTTTCTTTGCATGGCACAATTCCTCGTTTCTATTTAACGTTTAGTTTTATTGTTTGTTCTGCATCTTCATCTATTGATGGTTTCTGCAGACGAATCATCCCTGAGGGACAACAGAGCAGAGGTGTGACCAAGTCACTGCTTTGCAAGTCACAAGTCTTGCCAGTCAAGTCCAAGTCAAAGACAACCAAGTCTAAGTCGAGTCCAAAGTCAATGATGTGGAAGTCCAAGGCAAGTCCAAGTCCTTAACTTTGAATTTTCAAGTCATAATCAAGTCATCTGTCAAACTTCAATTTAATGACAATGATAAGAAATAAATTCCAGAAACAAAACTTCTTAAAGCTTCGTTTGTTTGCTCAAACAAGCAGAAAGTGCTGCTGCGTTTAGCAGAACAAGATCAAACCCAGAACCAAGAATGAGTTAGGATTTTCGTCCACGTCGAGCCACTTTTGTGCTAAAATATCAAAAATGCTCAAGTCATCATCGAGTCAACAGAAGCAAGTCGATTCAAGTCGCAAGTCATTGGCGTTCAAGTCCGAGTCAAGTCGTAAGTCTTTATAGATTTCATCAAGTCAAGTCAGAAGTCGTTAAAATAATGACTCGAGTCTGACTTGAGTCCAAGTCATGTGACTCGAGTCCACACCTCTGCAACAAGGTGTTTTAAACTTCATCTTCTTCTGTTAGTTATGGTTTCATGGCTTGTTTCACCTGCAGCACTGCGTCAAAGGAGCAAGAATGGAAGGCTCATCCTGGGAGTGTCGCCCAAACCTGAAAAATGTTACCAACATCAATAATCAGTAAACATTTGTTTACATAAACGACAGTGTTCACATAGCTCACGCTCGTCCGTTGTCCAGGTGAAGTAGAAACGTTTCATTTCCAAATTTCTCAAAGGTCTCGTAGTGGTGTCTGTCCATATTGCCTTGAGTGACAGAAGATACCAGATCAGGCTTTTTTACTCTGAATTACAAGCGGCGTGAGAATGTGGTCCCTCACACAGGTGAGGTACCACATTCTCACTATGACTGTTTACATAAGAAGTGAATGAACAAACTCATGAGAAAGTCCAGCACAGCCATGTCTACGAGGTCCACCAGCCTGGTGCCGCTGTTGTAGGGAGGCGTTTGTTTCACAGTGTCGCAGTAGGCCGGGTCCTTCTCCCACCTCAAAGAAACAGTCGGGGAAGAACAAGGTGACGTAAAGTTGACTTAAAGCAACATAAAATTGTTTTAAGGCTTTAAGTTTTTGCTTTCAAACTGGTTTCGGTGCCTGTTGAGCAGCTTCGCATTGGACGGTACTTTGTGGCCCTCTGCTCGCCAGAAACGGCACTGAACAGCTTTGTGTTTGAGGCGGGAACACTAGTGGGAGGTGTAACAGTAGCTGTTTACGGTGCTAGTAGTTAATCTTAAGGCTAATGGTTAGCCTTTTCAGTTTTCTGACTTTCAATAAAACGCTCAATAAGAAGAATTTAGCATTTTTGGATGGCAACATGGCAGAGCCTGGAAGTAAAAGTAACAGAGTAATGTCTTTGGAGTAATGTATAAATGAAAATGTTACCAATACGTTTTTGGTAACTTCACCACCTTATCAGAGAAAATTGTGGGGACCCGAGTGTGTGTGTGTGTGTGTGTGTGTGTGTGTGTGTGTGTGTGTGTGTGTGTGTGTGTGTGTGTGTGTGTGTGTGTGTGTGTGTGTGTGTGTGTGTGTGAGTGGGGTGGGGATGGTGGTGGGTGGGGGTGGGGGGGGGTTGATTGTGAACCCCTGCTCTAGGCAGCTCAAATATTGTTGGTGTGGTGGGATGAAACTAAATAATTTCTTAAAGTATCATGTTTGTTCTAAAAAGTGTGGTTTCATGAGCACATGAAGTGATATTTTGTCTTTGCTGTTGTTTTATTTAGGCTGAATCACTACTGAAAAACAAGACAAAAGAACACTAAAGTACACCGCTGGGTATACCTTTTTGGGTGTTTGTTGGGTTTTTGCTTTAAGCTTTAAACAAATTGCTAGTGGTCTTTTTAGCTGAAGTTCAGCACCCCCGACGATGGGCTTGAAACACCCATGAGGACTCTGAATACTCTCTTCTTATTGGCTGAAACTATTAGCACCAGTTTTTGCCACCAGAGGGCAGCAACTCTCCACCATGTTGTTCTATTTTCTGCCAGCGGAGGGAACAAATTCCCCATTCCTTCAATGAAACGATACATAAAGAGCAAGTGTTGTTACTAAGTCTTGCAAAATTACATTTACACGGAACAAAAAGTAAAAAAAAAGATCTATTATTGAATTGTTGCTGGTTACCTAAAAATAAATGGATGTTTAAACAGTTAAAATAATCTAAAACTCTAGGGAAGCTGGGATTACATTTAGGAGCGCTGCAACCCCCCCCCCCCCCAAAAGCAGGCCTATGAGGAGGCTAAATTCTCTTCTCACTGGCCAAAACTATTAGTACCAGCTTCTGCCACCAGAGGGCAGCAACTCGCCACCTTCTCCAAACTGTGTTGGAAATCAGAGTTGTTCTATTTATTGCCAGCAGAGGGCGCAGACTCCTCGTTCATTCAATGAAACAATAAACATCAAGCCTTTTGTTTTTACTAAGTAATTATTGCAAAATTCAACATACAATGAAAAAGAGTAAAATATATCAGTAATGGTATTCAGTTACTGGTTACTTAAAGATGACCACTAACAGTAAAATTAAATAAATGTTTAAACAATTAAAACAATCCCAAACTTTAAGGAAGATGGAAATAAACAGCTCCACACACACACACACACACACACACACACACACACACACACACACACACACACACACACACACACACACACACACACACACACACACACCAAAGTACTCTGGGAAAACCCCATTGCTTTGGAGTGACGTGCTGACAAAGTATACCCACTGTGCCAGCTTTGTACGACTATAGGATCGTCTCCACGGTGACCTCCAAGACCTGCGAGGAGCCAGGGTGAGATCAGGCAACATGGCAGCCAGAGAAACCTCCAGTACATGTGGCCGACCGCATACCGGGTTCTCTGTTGAACAGTAGTACTCACACTGGCCATAGAAACACGTGTTCCCAGCTAAAGACAGAGATGGGATGGGGGTTAAGGCTGGGTCAGAGGTGTAGTGGCGGTTAGTGTAACTAATGGAAACTGTGTATCTCCAAAATTTGCATTTGTGCCTCTAAACATTTACCCGGGGAGGTAAAGAAGGTCCTAGAGAGCTTGCGGTCAGCGGTAATGTCTCTGATCTCTGTGGTGATGTTGACGAGTCGACCGACCACTGGAGGGATCCGGTTGAAGCCCAACAGTCTGAGACAGGAAGTTACCAAAGACAAAGTAAAAAAAAACGTGGAAATGTTGTGTGAAAGAAAAAAAAAAGTGTCTGTTCACAGAATCGTGTTATAACGGTCCTAACTGCTAAAGTTTCTACAGTTGTCCTTTATCGCCCACCAGCCTTGTTGGTAAGCTTCAAAATCTGTCGTGTTCTACTTCAGAACATGACTTTCTTTTTCTAATTTGACAAGAACATCCAGAGATGGTCGCAGCTCGGCTGACTCCCTGTAGTCGATCCATTTGACCGTAAGACTAGCACATCTCACAAAACCGGTCAAGAGCTTTATCACGCTCTCACCTGCAGCATCTAAGCTGACACTCTGCTTAAACGAGAGACGCACCACTTCCAAAGCTTGTTTCATCTTCTTCTCCACTTCTTCAAGAACCCTGACCCATCACCTCGAAACAAGAACATTCCATTCAACCTGAAGTGTTCTTATAGGATTAAGAAACTGCCTCTTCTCTGACTGATGGCATCTGATTTCCACCCATCCCCCCCCAACGCCACCCCCTAAAGCCGGGCGTACGCTGTGCGACTTTTTCACTTTTTTGAGCCGATTTTCCACTCGTGAGAGAATCCACGAGATCGGGGCGAGTTTTGCGCCGAGCGGTCGTGTAGTGTACAGGGGGTTACGAGAGGCGATCAACACCACGTGACCAGCTACCGATCAGCAGTCGTGAGCTCGCACGGACTTCTGGCGTGTTTGAATTTTTGCTCGTCCCTCGTGAGGGTATCGCACTGTTGAAGCGGCGCTGCGAGCAGCTGCGACCCAAAAAGTACCAGAACCGCTCACGGTGCATGCGCAATCCTGCATCAACGCCGCTCACCCGCTATTTCCCTGATAACACACGTTGTTTATTTTTATTTTTACAAGTTTTTTTTTACTCACAAAGATTGTCAAGAAAGCGTGTTTGTCGTGTTCATGTCAAATTAACCTGATCACAAAACACAGATTTACTTTCTTTATTTCGTTTTCCTCATCCAACCCCCATAAATCCCTGTGTGTCCTCCTGCAGCACTCCCGAAGGACAACAGGCAAGACAAGACAAAAAAGTCTGACGTGTTGTGTAAAAACGGCTATTTTTAGCATATTTTTTAGGTCCGACGTGTTGCTACCAGACGTACAGCGTGAGCAGTCAGGTCGCATCGAGAACTGGGTCGCACAGTGTGAGCACATGACTCGTGAGATCTGCCCTGCGAGGAAGTCGTACAGTTTGAGCTGAAGCTGAGTGCTACGAGTGAAAAAGTCGCACGGTGTCCGCCCACCTTAACTAAGGTTGAGCTAAATCCTTACAGTTAGCAGTTCTACTGATGCGTCTTCACAAATCTCGGCTCCCACCAACCTTCTTCAGGCCATTTCTCTACCCATTCTGCTACCGTTCACACATGTCATGCTTTGATTGGCCTCAGGTACGTTTGTTTGCACCTCTGCCTGCGTCCGGCTGGAATCTACTGACCCAACTATTGCTGTCTAAGGCCTAATTTAAACTTCTCCATCAGCTCCAACGGGGAGAGGCACGCACGCACGGATGGAGACAATTTGCCCCCATGCTTATCCGTCTCCTGGGGAGTGTTGCAAAGCAATTCCCCGCCAGGACAACAGAGGGCGTAGCGCAGTTCTGTGGTATCCTGTCATGTGTCCGGTCCAAGATAGTAAGGTTTATATTGTGGGTTTTATTTTTATTTTTTGTATTTAAGAGACTCTTTAAAACGGACAAATTTGTCCCTCATTCTCCTCCACCTCTTCATACACTCGCCACCTCTTAACCCACGTTTCCCATCATTTACGTCCACGAATAAAATTCTTGCTCGCTTTTCTCTCCTCCAGTCACGAGGGAATGAAACGTTCATATTTTAGAGTTTCTCCGCTAGGTATTCTTCAAGCTGCTCCGTGTCTGCCGTTAGTTATCCTCAGCTCTTTATGTTTTTGAGGGCGCAATGGCGGCGGTGTAGACGACAGCGGCGCCCTGACCAATCACAAGCCTGTGTTCTCTGTCTCGACGGACGGATGTTTAGAAAAGAGAGCTCAACTCCGTCCGTCCTTGCGGCGAGGGCTCTCCAGCAGGCTCGCAAGGACGGATAATGGCGTTGCGTGCATCCGTCCCGACGCAGACGGAGATATGAAGGTCAGTCTGTTTCAAAAAGCACAAACCTGTAGATCTGTTGTGTGTATTCGTACTACATGATGGGTGCTTGGAAACAGTGTGTGTGCGTGCGTGCAGTACAGTGTGAGGAGCTGTACACCAACACCCGTAAACCTGTAAAGCTAAATATGCACCTGTAAGAAACACTCACATGCATTTGAAATAAAATACAGTTGTGTGTGACATTTTCAACTACAAGTCTGTAAACACAAGTGTACAGATCTGTTTCTGCACACGCTCAACTTTTTTATTACAATTGCACAGCTTTCCTCTCACACATCTGATTTTTGAAACTATTTTCACGATTAATATGTGTCAAAATGCACAAGTTTGTAAATTTGTTGTCTGATTCCGTACAACACAATGTGGGCTTGAAGATTGGATGTGAGTGTGTGTACCGTAAAAGGTGAGCTTGAAGTTTTGAGGTGAGTGTCTGTGCATTAAAATGTGAGAAGCTGCACATCAACATGTGTGAAATTGTGAAGATAAATAGTACTTGTAAGAAAAAGTAAATTGTATGTGAAACAAAATAAACTTACATGTAAAATTTTCTTCTGCGACCCAGTAAATACAACTTCTCAAATACGTTTCTGCGCATGCTCAGTTGTTGTTTTACAAGCGCACAACTCTCCTCTCGCGAGTCTGACTTTTGAAACACTTCTGGCAGGTTGTGTGTTGCAAATTGCAGCTGTGTGTATCTGCAGAGGCGAGTGGAGCAGGGGATGAGGGCGAGGGTGGGGGCGGAAGGAGGAGCCACAGAGAAAGGGTTGTCATTGGCCGGCTCTGGTTTCCAGGACAACAGGCTCAACCAATCAGAGTGAGAGCTGCGTTTTTCCCTCGGCTTTCAGTCCGCTGCTGTCTGCAGTTCGCGATGGCTGAACGAGCTGGGGTAAGTACATTTCAAAGGACTTTCTAAACTTATTTTAGTCATTTCCTCGTCTTTTTATTTAAACAAGGTGACACACTAACATAACGTCATGCTATTTATACCATTATTAAGGCCTTATAAGATATTTGTACAAATATGTAGTCTAGCTAAAGTTTATATGAGCTGCTTTGCTAAGTTAGCAGAAACAAAAACGCCACTGCTAACACTGAAGTCCTGCATTAAGGCCACTGTGTTTGGGTATAATCCCAGGGGTGTTTCTCAATGTCAAGGCTTTGAGGACACTGTCCTTCCTTGGTCAAAGAAAACAGTTAAATGGAGCTGACTTGCGTCACGTGACCAGGGCTCCCGTGATGGTCACGTGACGTGCGGCAAAGTTATAATTATACTTATAAGTTGTATAATGAGCATTTTACTTTTTAAATTGCGTATATATTGCTTGAATTACATGTATAAGGGAGTTACTAATTGCTGGCCATCGAAGCTGCAACGATTAGGCAGCACCAACTAACCAACTTCTGATTAAAAAAATAAACGTTTTAGATATCAGCCTGATAGTTGCAATTAGTTTTTTTAATCACCAGTAAAACAATAAAAAGTAATCATTTGAAACCTTTAACTCTTGTTTCCTTTCTCGGGGATCCTATTAATAACAACTGTTACATGTGATATTTAAAATTGCATTTGATTGCTCTTTTAGTAACCCTTCATTTTTGTTTTTCAGGAACTGCTGCTCAACTATCTGCTTGAAAGACTTTACAACCGTTCCTCTAATTGGCTTGATCGAGTTCCTCTAGATCTCGATTTTTTGGAATTTGTATGTTGTCAGGAGCTGGTTATTCTGGGTGCTATCTCAAACCAGTTTGACGTCCCTCAGGACATTTTAAATGCACTTGCCCAAGTTTATCAGAGACCTGCAGTCAAAATAAAAAAGCACAAATTATTGTTGCTCACGAAAGAGGAGCCATTGGTCGTCCCAAACTACTTATTCCTGAGAAATACACAGAACACCTCATTTCTTTAGGTTTACCTGTCACGTGTATTGCACAGCTGCTGGGGATATCTAGAGTTACATTACACAGGCGAGTGAAAGAATGGGGTTTAAATGTGAGCCAAACTTACAGCACCATGACTCACGATGAGCTAGACTCTCTAGTGTCACAGATCCATGCCAGAAACCCAAATGCAGGGTATAGATTGATAATAATAATAATGCATTGAACTTATATAGCGCTTTTCAAGTCACCATTATGAAAGGTCTGCTGAAGTCACAAGGATATAGACTTCAGTGGGAGCGTGTTCGGTCCTCTATGCGCAGATTAGACACTGCAGGCGTGGTTTCCTGAACGTCCCATCTCCGTTGTGTGGTCAGAAGAACGTATTCTGTGCCTAGCCCACAATCATTTTATTGCAGGAGCTTTACATTCCACAGATTGAATGGGAATCCAGTGACTCATCGAAAATGAACACAACTCTGGTGCTCAAGTTCCAGAAGTTGAATGCCCGCTAAGTCCAGGAGAATATTCTGGACTCTGTGCAGCTGTGGATCCACTGAGGTCAATCTTGGGATTGACAGTTATTTAGCCACACGGCATTACATGCAAACCATTGGCTATAATAAAATCTTTCATTTTTTGCATCTTGTCATCAATGACTTGTATAAAATGTCTGTGAAGGATCTTGATAAGTCTCCATTATCTAACTGAACACGTTATTTTAATCTCCATGTTTTCTCTTACCACATCTGAACTTGAAAGTACAGATTAAATGACTCGTGAGCATTTGAAAATGTTTGCATGTTAATATTCTTCGATGGCAAACTAAAAGAATTAAACCTTCTTAAGTTAAAATTATAGTAATCTTCTTGTGTGTACTAAAAATCTAACTGCCCTTTCTTATTCTCTTGGATATTGAAATTCCCAAATTTGTGAGAATAATGAAAGTTTTGTTGCAATTTGATGTTTTTTTTTATTTAAAAACCTGCAAGTCTAACGTGTTAATATAGGTTACAATCATTTGTGAATTCAATAAAATGTTTAAAGTTTTTTTTTTAAATTTTATTAATAACATCTTGAACTTAAGCAAGTGACAGGAAAAAAACATTTAGCATTAAGCTACAAAAATATTGTTCTATTGTCATGACCCTGGATGCAGCAACGTTTTGTTTGTTGCATATGTATAAAATGCAATCTTGAAAATGATTTCTCTACTTGTAAAATTACAATAAAACATTTATCATATAACACAGCTGTGCCTTACTTGTAACTCAATATTCCTGAAACTTTCAGCTGTAACTTGATGATTAAATAAAAAAAAGATTTGTTTGGTATAACCTGAACAGCACTGGCAAATAGCATGACGTTAAACTTTAGATCAATCCAAAACCATGAACATTGGTTGCTATGCAACTTTCAAGATGATTGCGAAACATCAAATGTTGTGTAGTGGCAGGGCAGACGTAGAATATGGAAGCAGCTAGATGAGGTTGGATGGTCTGCCTGCATTATTTCCACTTTCATATCCTTCATGGGTTTCTCCCATCCAACCCAAAACTTCACGAGCTGCTTCCTTTGCTCTTCATACACTGAAAAAGAAAAGAAAAAATGGCAAAGACAAATGAGATATAAAAGATCTTCTGTGCCATGTTTACACAAGATACTTAGAATGTAGCAAACCCACCTTATCTGCTGTGTCATATAAAACACTTTACTCATTTTAACCCTCCCACTGTCTACATGGGTGACCCCACCAGGAAAGTTGACCACTGAGCAGGGTTGATGGTTTATCCCTTGAGGTCCATGTGGCAGGGGTGAGGTCTTTCCTGGTGGGGTCACCCATGAAGACAGTGGGAGGGTTAAGGCTTCTAAAATAGTTTGATTGTACACATTTTGTGAAAGACAACTGTTTAAAGATAGAAGTGGAATAAACCTATAATGACTTTAAGGTTTATTCCAATGATTTTCAGGTTTTTGTAATGGTTTTAAAGTGTCTTAATGGTCTTGGCCCTTCTAGCCTTTCTGAACTGACTTTACCATACAAACCCTCACGTCCTCTGCACTCCTCTTGCAGCCATCGCCTTGTGATCCCGAATGTCAGGACAAACAACAATGGTCAGGCGTCCTTACAATATAATGGCCCTTGCCTCTGGAGCAGGCTGCCTGAGGACCTCAGGACCAGAGAGAAATGTTAAGAGCAGGCCGAAGAATGAACTTTTTTAGCTTAGCTTTTAACTGCTTATTATTTATGATTAAATTTCTTATATTTTAAGAAAGTTTTGTTATATATTTATGATTTGATATTGTTTTACTATTTCTACAATTATATTGATCACTACTTATTCATACATTACCTCTTTTTATTTCATTCTTTTACTTATTCTAATACTTTACAGCGTTTCCTCAGTGGGAGCCCTCTGCCTCAGGGCCAGTGGTCAGCGGCAGTGGCCTGGGTGCTCTCCAGGTAGTGCTTGGGTGTAGGTGGGGGCCCTTGTCCTCCCTCCTCTGTGAGCCCTGTCTCGGTGCCCTGGCTGCTGCCGTGGATCTACTGGAGTTGGATCAGACGGCTCGCCTGATGGCGTTTCCTGACTCATCTGAGCTCTGCCCAGTGTTTGCATATGTTCTCTAATGTGTTGTGTGTGCATGTGGGTATGTGTGTGTGTGTGTATATGCGTGTTACTGGGTCGGGGAAGGGGGTTTCAATTGACAATGAATTTTGTGGGATATGTCAGGTCTTTTCAATCTGTGGGTCATTTTTTTTCTTCCTCTGAAGCTATTTGAGTTTCATTTTTTTGTTTGAAAAGCGCTTTATAAATAAAGCTGTAGTTTGAGTGTAACCAGAAAAAAGCCAAATACCTGTCTCAACAAATCTACGCAAGTAGCTTGTGATCTAACATTTCACAGCAAGAGGAGATTCGCTGTCATCCTCCAGCTCTTCTTCATCTGGCCAGGTGATGTGGTCCAGAACCATCTGAATGTGACAAAATAAAATAGCATATGATTAAAAAGTGAAATTAGGAAATGCTCATATTTATTGAGTTTTAAGAAATGAATACCTCAGCATTGCAATCTGCCTTTTCCTGGCATCGGAATACGACAGGTAAGACATCTGACCTGGCCAGATGTCAGTGCATCCCTGTCCTGGTGGACCAAGGGCCACAAAGAATGAACCTGCGGGCTGGACGTGGCCCACAGACTGTCAGCTGAGTACCGCTGGTCTAAACAGTGCCTGAAAATAGGATCCCCGAGAAAGGAAACAAGAGTTAAAGGTTTCAAATGATTACTTATATTGTTTTACTGGTGATTAAAAAAACTAATTGCAACTATCAGGCTGATATCTAAAATGTTTATTTTTTTAATCAGAAGTTGGTTAGTTGGTGCTGCCTAATCGTTGCAGCTTCGATGGCCAGCAATTAGTAACTCCCTTATACATGTAATTCAAGCAATATATACGCAATTTAAAAAGTAAAATGCTCATTATACAACTTATAAGTATAATTATAACTTTGCCGCACGTCACGTGACCATCACGGGAGCCCTGGTCACGTGACGCAAGTCAGCTCCATTTAACTGTTTTCTTTGACCAAGGAAGGACAGTGTCCTCAAAGCCTTGACATTGAGAAACACCCCTGGGATTATACCCAAACACAGTGGCCTTAATGCAGGACTTCAGTGTTAGCAGTGGCGTTTTTGTTTCTGCTAACTTAGCAAAGCAGCTCATATAAACTTTAGCTAGACTACATATTTGTACAAATATCTTATAAGGCCTTAATAATGGTATAAATAGCATGACGTTATGTTAGTGTGTCACCTTGTTTAAATAAAAAGACGAGGAAATGACTAAAATAAGTTTAGAAAGTCCTTTGAAATGTACTTACCCCAGCTCGTTCAGCCATCGCGAACTGCAGACAGCAGCGGACTGAAAGCCGAGGGAAAAACGCAGCTCTCACTCTGATTGGTTGAGCCTGTTGTCCTGGAAACCAGAGCCGGCCAATGACAACCCTTCCTCTGTGGCTCCTCCTTCCGCCCCCACCCTCGCCCTCATCCCCTGCTCCACTCGCCTCTGCAGATACACACAGCTGCAATTTGCAACACACAACCTGCCAGAAGTGTTTCAAAAGTCAGACTCGCGAGAGGAGAGTTGTGCGCTTGTAAAACAACAACTGAGCATGCGCAGAAACGTATTTGAGAAGTTGTATTTACTGGGTCGCAGAAGAAAATTTTACATGTAAGTTTATTTTGTTTCACATACAATTTACTTTTTCTTACAAGTACTATTTATCTTCACAATTTCACACATGTTGATGTGCAGCTTCTCACATTTTAATGCACAGACACTCACCTCAAAACTTCAAGCTCACCTTTTACGGTACACACACTCACATCCAATCTTCAAGCCCACATTGTGTTGTACGGAATCAGACAACAAATTTACAAACTTGTGCATTTTGACACATATTAATCGTGAAAATAGTTTCAAAAATCAGATGTGTGAGAGGAAAGCTGTGCAATTGTAATAAAAAAGTTGAGCGTGTGCAGAAACAGATCTGTACACTTGTGTTTACAGACTTGTAGTTGAAAATGTCACACACAACTGTATTTTATTTCAAATGCATGTGAGTGTTTCTTACAGGTGCATATTTAGCTTTACAGGTTTACGGGTGTTGGTGTACAGCTCCTCACACTGTACTGCACGCACGCACACACACTGTTTCCAAGCACCCATCATGTAGTACAAATACACACAACAGATCTACAGGTTTGTGCTTTTTGAAACAGATTGACCTTCATAGGAGAAGTATAATTTAGGCTTAAGGCCATTTTTCTAAAACGTTGAGTTTCATTAAAAACCAACCTCCTTGGTCCAAACCAAAGACGTTTAGGAAAGACAAGTCTATCATTTATCTATTGTCGAGTAAGGGAACTACCAGTGTTGTAAATGCAGCTACAGCTTCCATAAGGGCCTTGGAGCTTATCTTATGTGACCCCTTTTGGAGCCTTTGACCACGTGCAGCATGGGTGGACTGGCCTATCTGGTATTCTGGCACTGTCCCGGTGGGCCTCCTAGCCAAGTGGGCCGCTTGCCCAGCTTGGACCGACACAAGCCCCACCCCGCTTTCACATTCGCCGGGACAGACGAGTCTGTGATCAACTGCAACAACACCCCCCGCCCCACACCCTCGCTCTGAGGGCCAACGGTCCATAAAAATGCCAGGGCCGATTTTTGGTCCCAGTCCACCCCTGATGGCATCTCAGTGTAGGTATCTCACACTTGACACACCCTTGGTTCCAACATACTTGATTGTCATTTAAACATCTCACGAGTTTCATCTCCCATGGGTTGCGGTCTAGGACCCCTCTCCTGGTAATCCATACCCTCGCTCTCTTCCCAGTTATCTGCTTTCATGACGTTCACATAGACACTAAACTGGACTTATCACTGCTTCCCTAAAGGCGTAGCTTGTTCTGAATAACCAATTCCTGTAACACACTGATGAGAGTAACGTTCTTGCCCAGAACATCACTTGCTGCGACGGTTATAATCATCTGTACCTGTCCAGGTGGAAGGCAGCGATCTCTGCATTGTGTCTCTCAAAGTCTGAGAAGTAGAAGAGGTTCACGTCTGTCTCGGCGTCTCTGGATTGTCTGATAAAGAAAACGAAACACGGTTTGGTGGAATCCTCTTGTGTTTGCTGTTAGGAGGGCGTGGCTCACCTCATGGGTTTGAGCAGAGCTTGTCCGTAATTTGGGAATGACAGAAGCAGTTTCAGCTGTGTGCCCCCGGTCTTCTGAACTAACGGATGCACATCAAGCAAACACAGAGAGCGCATAAATACTCAGAGGGAAGGATGATCTTCATCTTCACTTTGTATGCAGCTATAGGAAAGATATTAATATTACATAAAGGCAGAAAAACAACCCTGAGGTAAGAACAGCAGGGACTTTGTTGAAGGCGTTCAAAGTACAAAATTAAACCACATATGCTGCTCAGTCACTGCTGACTTTCATTTTACTAAATACTTGAACATATTTTTATTTACTGATCAGTTGATTTATCTTCAGGTGTGTTTCCTAAGCGGAAAAACTGGACATTTTAGCTTAATTTAAAGACCAAGTTCACCAATTTTTTTCAACACATTTGCAGTGGTCTCTAGTGGAAATGAATGCCTTGTGAGTTGATCTATTTGGGGGGGGAAAAAAGCTCTGGCGCTCCTGTTTCAGGAACTAGAAGTGAGCCGGGGCACGGATGAGCATATGAAGGCGGGATTTCATCGACTCTGAATGGAAAATAGCGACACGGGTCTCACTGTTTCTCTGCAACTTTCATCATTTATCTCCTCAAAAAACACAAGCCTGAAGGAGTTCTGCCATGTGGTGGATTTGCTAATAAGTAAGTAATTTTTTTTAAATTTATATAGCACTTATCACAGACATTGAATCACAAAGTGCTTCACATAGATTAAAACAAAGTCATAAAATCCAAATGATTTCAAAACAGAAATAGATTTACATCACAAAAAATGTTATAAAATTATAAAATTTTATAAACAGATGAAAGATTAAAATTTTGAGTTAAAATAAGAAAATAAAAATTTTAGGTCAAAGCAGCTTTAAATAAAATGGTCTTCAGCTGTTTTTTAACATGTCCAGACTGTCAATGCTGCGTGAGGATAAAGGAAGATCATTCCAGAGTCGGGGTGCAACAGTCTGGAAGGAGCGATCACCTCGACTTTTGTATCTGGTCTTTGGAACTTCTAGAAGGTTCTGGTGTGTGGATCTGAGGGCTCGGGTTGGAGCATAAGGCTTTAACAGTTCAGTAATATAGGGAGGAGCTTGCACATGTAGAGCCCTGGAAGTTCTAGTCAGGATTCTAAAATGAAATCTAAAGTTAACGGGTAACCAGTGCAGAGACATCAGAATAGGAGTGATGTGAGCTCTTCTGTTAGCTCCGGTTAGGAGCCTCGCTGCAGAGTTCTGGACCAACTGAAGGCGGTCAAGGGCTTTTTGTTAAAACATGTGAAAAGTGTGTTACAGTAATCTAGACGGGAGGAGATAAAGGCATGGATAACCATTTCAAGTTCATTTTTTGACACTAACCTTCGCAGTTTGGAGATATTTCTTAAGTGATAAAAACAGTTTCGGACCTACGTTTTTGAGTGATCTTCAACAGACATTGATTGGTCAAAAACACCCAAATTCCTTAAGTTTGTCTTGACAGCAGAAGATAAATGACCAAGTTTTTGACTAATCAGGGGAACCATGCTCTCAGGGGCAATGATCAGACATTCAGTCTTTGCAGAGTTACACTGCAGGAAGTTTTCTTCTAGCCAGCTGGTGATAGCTGAAAGAAACTTGTAATTCAGACAGTTTGTAGAACTCAGAATCCTTAAAGGAGCAGTACAGCTGAATATCATCTGCATATAGGTGATAAGAGACATTATGAAAATAATCAATTATCTGTCCAAGAGGGTGTATGTACAGCAGAAACAACAGTGGACCCAAAACAGAGCCTTGGGGTACCCCACAGAAGATTGGTAGGAACAGTTCCAGAGAATGATAACAGTTAGCTTCTGCTAGTCGAGGTGTGCTCTGCTCTGTCCTGGATGCTAAATCAACAACAGCCTTTTCTGGTCATAAACAAAGATGTCTATAAATGCTCATTTTTACTGGCGTAGATCTGACTGGCATTTCTAATCCAAGAGTTTCTCCATCTATTTTCTATACGCAGCTGATGCAGGAAACGGGTAGAAGACTATTATTATGTTTAGCTTGCATGTTAAATCAGAGTGATCGATCACATTTCAAAAGTAAAAAACTAGATTTTTAGGTAATCTTGTCCATGTAGGGACTCATATTATGGTTGTTATGTAATTCACTTCAGTATTTAGTGTTTTGTTTCTTTTAGCTAAGCAGCAGTTGAGCCAAACAGTCAGCCTAATAAAATTGTTTTGTCATTTAATTTCCACATAAAGTCAAATTCTGCATGTGTTGGCAAGTTCCTCAAACATGGATGAAAAACAAAATAAGCTTCTCAGACCTGATCTTTTGTTTTTGTGACCAATTTCTATTTCAGTTGGCTAATTAGGATTAGCATGCTTTCATGAACACACACTGTTTTAGAACATTTAATCATGGAAACAAAATATAGCCTATTTAAAATTTTGATAATTAGAAACTAATAAGATTTGATCAACTAAAGTTAAAGCATCCCTCCTCGAATGAGAACAGGTAAAACTTGACAAAATAAAATGTTAGTGTGGGAAAGTCATTGTCTTTACATTAAGACACTGCATGACATTTATTATGTGTCTGTGATTTACGCTGGCAGTTCTGATAAAAACTAGGGGTGGGACTAGATTAAAAATTAATCTAATTAATCAGAGGCTTTATAAGGAATTAATTGTAATTAATTGCATTTTAATTGTTCAGGACAATTTTAACCCCAAAACATTTTAAAATCGATAATAATGATAGTGAGGCACAGATGACACATCTACACTTTAAGAAGTATATTTCTGTAACCACAAGGTCTATTTGATTACTTTGGTCTCATTATGAAGGTGTGGCATTTGTTAGGACGTGCGCTGGTGAAGGTTCTCAATCATTCAGGTCTCAGTAATCCAAAAGGGTTCAAATGAAGACAGCTTGACTTCTTTGGTTTCTTGAAGACGTTTTGCTTCTCATCCGAGGACCTTTGTCAATTCAAACTGGAATATGGGAGAGTCAAGCTTATAAACTTTGGCTGTCTGTTGTTATTTAACGAGCAGAAACTACTCTGGGTACCCCGCCTCTCCATCCCCTGATGAGTCTTTAGCCTCTATTGATTAGATGCAGGAAGGCGTGACCTAGACTGAAACTGCTTAGGAATGAGATTCAAAGCTGCATTATAGGCCCTGGAAAGGTGAAATCTAAGCCCCTCCCTTATTTAAAGTGGGGTTTTCACATTTGACATAGATAGCTTATTTTACTCCTCTCTCAAACCATCTACCTTCTCTCTCCAGAATATGTACTTTGTCATCTACAAAGGTGTGTCCCTCGTCCTTCAGGTGTAGGTGGACTTGACCTGAAGAGGTGGCTCTCCTGAGTTGTGCCATGCATTTGTTGTAATTGGTGTTTAGTTTCCCCAGTGTAACAATCTGGACAGTCCTCACTACATCGGACTACATAAACAGCACCACTGAGCTTCTGTTTGGGTGTTATGTCTTGTGGATGGACCAGTTTCGGTCTGAGGGTGTTGTTGGGTTTAAAGTTTACCGGGATGATGTGTTTGGAGAAGATCCATCTAAGATTCTCTGAGACTCCTGCCACATATGGGGTGACAGTGCCTTTGTGCCTGTTGTCCTTTTCTTTGCTGGTTGCTGCGTTGGATGCTTTTCCAGACTTCTTTGTAGATTTCACAAAGAAGTCATGTCTGCCAACCCTAACCCTGCATCTAATCAACACGACTCCCTCTCAATAGAGGCCAACGACTGACTCATCAGGGGGTGGAGAGGCGGGGTACCCAGAGTAGTTTCTGCTCGTTAAATAACAGAAAGCTACAGCGTATGGGCTTGACTCTCCCATGCTTCAGTTAGAATTGACAAAGCTCCTCAGATGAGAAGCGAAACAAGAAACCAAAGAAGTCAAGCTGCCTTCATTTGAACCCTTTGGGTTGTTAGGATGTGTAACTATTAGTTTATGTGTTACTGATTAATGTAAATGAACATGGAACATTGTAAATATGTGTAGAACTAAACACTAGGTGGCAGCAGAGCACTGCTAATATAAACAGAGGTGTAGGGTAGAGTTCAGAGGAAGTTCAGCTGAAGGTTAAAGGATGAATGCTGCATGTGTGCTTGTCCCTCCTGCTGTAATCAAGTTCATATGGATAAAGTTACTGCCAGCCTGCTTTCTACCAACTACAAAATATAACGGTAAAAAATATTTATTTTTCTTTTATTGTCAAGATTAATTTAATTGTGGTTTTAGTCACGTTTAGAACGCATAAAAAAGGTTTATAGGGTTTTGTAACCCAGGGTCTGCAGTTTCTCTAGAGGTGCAGCTTGATATTTATTTTTACACACACACACACACACACACACACACACACACACACACACACACACACACACACACACACACACACACACACACACACACACACACGGCATACATTGTGATGGGAATTTTTTTAGGGTTAGGGTTAATTTTTTCTGATTAATTAATCATGATTAACTCATTAAATTCCCACGCCTAATAAATAAATAAAGTAACCCACACTTTATGATACAATCTGCAGTTACTATAGTGTTAATCATGAAAATCAGATGTGACAAAGTGAGGAAACAGAAATCTTCCTGTAGCTGAGATAAATGCTTAATCTGCACCGCATAGCATAAATATCAAAACATTATTTATTCTCCAGGGCGCCGAGGACAAGGATGCTTCATCTGTGAGGTGCAGAAACAAAATGAGCTGATGCAAGTGTAGTGAATATCTGTGTTTATGTATTTGCATTGAGCTCAGCTGCAGGCTAGGCCTCTAACACGTATAAAGCACTCATGCGAACGACTCAATCTGTAACTGTGTGTGGTTTTGCATGGAGCTGATTTAGTACGATCTTCCAAGAGGACCATGTTTATGACCTCACAATAAAACACCACGTAGGCTGCCATTTTGGTTATGTAAGTGGTCCGAATGAGGACCGTTTGTCTCCGTTTACTGTTCTTCAGTTGTGTTGTGTGTTTCCACTCTTCCATGAATACTTTGCATTTTCACAGCATGAATAAGAGAAATTCTTAACCTTATTGGAGCTTTAGTGAAAAAAGGAGATTATGCTTTTAAAAGAAATTATTAAAGATCACATCAGAGAAACAGCTTGAAGTTGAAAGGGCGACTAAACGAAATACTGCTGTTACTTCACCCAACCAAGTGCTGCTTTTAATTAGTCTGATCTGTTTCATTTCTTGGTCCTGTCCTTTCTTCTCTCTCCTATTAGCGCTCTTTAGTTGCTCACCAGCTCCAAGGATGCGGTTTGTTGCCAAATAATGAGTCAGTTGAGCCAGGTTGGGGTTGTTCCTGTCATACAGCTCCCAGCGAGAGATTCCCAATTGGAATTGCAACCAGGGAGGATGGGTTTCCTTGTCTCTTGTCCAAGTAACTTTATCGTAGCCATCCTCCTCACTGGCGCTTTGCCTATGGAAGGAGATGTAACACAGGAAACAGGTTTAATAAAACAATAGCTTAAATGAATTAAAGCACAGGAAAGTCAAATAAAAAAAGAAATACAGCTTAAAATATATGTAGAATCAAATTAAATGAAAGTATGAAGATAGCCTGCCATAATTAAAGAGATTCTAAGTAGTTTTGGGTGCTTTTAGCACCCCCTAGTGTTCGTAATTAAATTTCTGCCATCAAAGCAAAAGAGAAACTCATCTCCTTGCCGTGCGTTCATCTTACAGTGATGACCAGGGGATGGGGGGTGGAATTGCTTTGCTTCCATGTTGTCCGTGAGATGGGGGTGAGTTGCGTGAGGATGTTTTTTTTGGGGGGGGGGGGGGGGGGGGGGGGTTTGTAGCTGTGGCTGGATTTCCAGGTGTGGATAAGGAAAACATCTTCTTAATCTAATAGATGAAAAGTCTCCCCAGCCTTCATTAGTGTCTACAGGAGCGATTCATCACATTGAACAAATCAGCAATATTCCCGATCTAAAACATGCAGGAAACGTGCTGGAAGCAGACTGCAGGGCCAGGTATGGAAGCTGAATCTTTCCACAGGTGGTGGCCCGGCACTCTGAAGTTGCAAATGCAGTGCTCTGGCCACAGAGGGCAGTAGGGGTCTGAGTGATAGTTCATTAACCCTGTAGAAGGTCCTCTGTATAAGATCTCATTGTGAGTCCGTTTATCATTTAGCTGTTGGCGTCGTTAACTCAGACAGGAACAATAATAAAAGGTCAGAGGTTGGGCAACCTCACAGAGTGACATCATCAAGGGGAATCTTGAAATGTTTAGTAGGGGATCTCCTAACCCCTTTTATTTTGAAAGGGTTTCTGCTGCAGATGCTCAATATTGGCTTTTGATATCAGCTCTGACTCTTAATTTCTGCTATGGATTTAAACTGATACAAACATGCTGCTCCTCTCATAAGAAAGAAAAACACGTTAGGGTACTAACTTTGCATAAACTTTGCCGTTCCTCCCAATCACACCCCTCCAGGTCAAGCTGTCATTGCCCACGTGAGCATTGAAGTCTCCCAGCAGTACAATGGAGTCCCCTGATGGAGCACTATCTAGCAGGGACTCCAAAAAGGGTGGGTACTCTGGACTGATATTTGGCCCATAAGCACAAACAACAGTCAGGACCCGTTCCCCGACCCGAAGGCGCAGGGAAGCTACCCTCTCGTTCCCCGGGGTAAACCCCAACACACAGGCAGAGAGTCTTGGGGCTAACAAAAAGCCAACCCCAGCCCTCCGCCTCTCACCCGGAGCAACTCCAGCAAAGGAGAGTGTCCAACCCCTCTCAAGGACTTGGGTTCCAGAGCCAATGCTTGTGTCGAGGTGAGTCTGACTATATCTAGCCGGTACCGCTCAACCTCTGCCACAAGCTCCTGCTCCTTCCCTGCCAGCGAGGTGACGTTCCATGTCCCAAAAACCAGTTTTCTTGTCCGGGGATTGGACCGCCAAGGCTCCCGCCTCGGTCTGCCACCCAATCCACATTGCACCGGACCCTTCATGTTCCTCCTGCGGGTGGTGGGTCCACAGTTGGATGAGCCCATGTATTCGGTTCGGGCTGGGCACGGCCGGGCCCCATGGGTGAAAGCCCGGCCACCAGACGCTCGCTCACGGGCCCTAACCCCAGGCCTGGCTCCAAGGTGGGACCCCGGTAACCCTCAGGGCCGGGTACTCAGACTCTTTGAATTTTCTTCCATGAAAGATCCTGTGAACCATTCTTTGTCTCACCCTTCACCTAAGACCAATTTGTCATGGGAGACCCTTCCAGGGGCACAAAGTGCCCCAGACAACATAGCTCCTAGGATCATTAGGGCACTCAAACTCCTCCACCATGATAAGGTGACGGTTCAAGGAGGAGTGATATGATTCAATATTTATTTATACAATAAGAATTTGGATTTATCTTTAAACGTTTGGACAAATTATTGCAGTTTCCTAAATAAATGTGGTGGAAAACTGACTTTCAGAAATGCTCACCTTGTTTTTTTTTATTGTTATGATTAAATAAATATAGAAAAGTGATAATTATTTTTATTGAACTGCTAAACAACTGCTACTCCATACAAAGATAACCATCAGGTTAGAGATGCTTGTCTAAGTTCATGAGGAGGTAAACCGTTGAAAAACCTAAGCTAATGAAGGCGTTTGTCGACCTTTTTCACTCACCACTCACTGTCGTTAGTGATGGAGTTCTCCTCATCCTCATCCTCACCCACCGAGTCTTCCGCCTCAGCGTCGGTCTTTAGCCTCAGCAGCCAGTCGTCTTCCTGTAGCTCTGGACGTGGCAGGTTGTAGAGCGGATGTTGAAACAACTCCTCCAGCTTAGAGCGACCCTTCTCCTTTTTCATTAGTTTTTCAACTCCGAGCAGTTTCTTTGCCTCCTCAGTGGCCTCGCTAATGGAGCCATTCCATTTCTGGTCATGCACGCTGGCATTTGATTTGTACCGTTCTCCATTTTGGGAGTTGGCTGGTGGTTTGTTTGAGGAAAAGGCGGCAGAAGAGGAGGAGGAGTGCGAGACCGGATCTGTTCTTGGAACAAAGGCTGGAGAGAACGGCGTGGGAAGAACACAGGCGGACTGAAGGACCGAGAAGCAGAAGATTGCTAAAAGGAGATGGAGAGAGAGAGAGATGCACGCCAGTCCCAGATAGATGGAGCGAGTAGACTGACCCCGGCTTCGACGCACCATGCTGGAACAACAGAAGACCACAGTGAACCCAGATTTACATAAAATATCATAGTTTTTCACATTTTTCTAAGTTGGACCAACAGTCCATGGTGTTTTAGACTCTCAACCATTATGCTCACATACCAGGATTCCTTGTTATTGTTAATGTGACACAGGAAGTGTTTTTGAATCACCAACCAGGACCTCTCTGCCTGGTCAGACCATAACGGACAGCTTGGCTGCCCGATAAAAACATGTTGTGTTTATTTCCTTCCCAGTTTTGCACCACGATTGACGGCTGTGATGCTGAAGCAATTTGCTGGGTTCCTTATATAGGAAAGTTTTTTTCTGATTGGCTTAACTCATTCACTGCCAGACGTTTCCTGATCAGTAAGCCCTTCGCTGCCAGCGTTTTTCAAAGTTTGGATTTTAAACAACTACTTTTGTGGTCAATGGCAGTGAATGAGTTCATCAATTGTTTTTTAAGCGTGTTTATTTCGCATTTGTTTATCACGCGTGTGTTCATTACGCGTGTTTATTGCGCATGTGTTCATCATGCATTTGTTCATTGCACATGTGTTTACCACGCGTGTGTTAATTACACATGTTTATTGCGCATGTGTTCTTCATGCATTTATTCATAGCGCATTTGTTTACCACACGTGTGTTCATTACGCGTGTTTATTACACATGTGTTTACCATGCGTGTGTTCATTACACGTGTTCATTGCGCATGTGTTCATCATGCGTGTGTTCATTACGCGTGTTTATTGTGCATGTGTTCATCATGAGTTTGTTCATTATGCATGTGTTTATGTCACGTGTGTTCATTACACGTGTTTATTGCGCATGTGCTCATCATGCATTTGTTCATTGCGCATGTGTTCATCATGCGTTTGTTCATTACGCATGTGTTTATGTCGCATGTGTTCCTCATGCGTGTGTTCATTACGCATGTTTATTGAGCATGTGTTCATCATGAGTTTGATCATTATGCATGTTTATGTCGCATGTGTTGATTACGCATGTTTATTGCGCATGTGTTCATCATGCATTTGTTCATTGCACATTTGTTTATTACGCATGTGTTCATTACGCGTGTGTTCATTACGCGTGTTTATTGCGCATGTGTTCATCATGCATTTGTTCTTGCACATTTGTTTACCACGCATGTGTTCAATACACGTGTTTATTATGCATGTGTTTACCATGTGTGTGTTCCTTACGCATGTTTATTACGCATGTGTTTACCACGCATGTGTTCATTACACATGTTTATTGCACATGTGCTCATCATAAATGTGTTCATTGCGCATGTGTTCATCATGCATGTGTTCATCACGCGTGTTTATTGCACATGTGTTCATCATTAGTTTGTTCATTATGCATGTGTTTATGTTGCATGTGTTCATCACATGTGTTTATTGCGCATGTGCTCATCATGCATTTGTTCGTTGCACATTTGTTTATTACGCGTCTGTTCATTTTGCATGTTTATTGCACATGTGTTCATCATTAGTTTGTTCATTATGCATGTGTTTATGTTGCATGTGTTCATTACGCGTGTTTATTGCGCATGTGTTCATCATGCATTTGTTCATTTCACATTTGTTTATTATGCATGTGTTCATTACACATGTTTATTGCACGTGTTCATCATGCATTTGTTCATTACGCATGTGTTTACCACGCATGTGTTCATTACGCTTGTTTATTGCGCATGTGTTCGTCATGCATTTGTTCATTACGCATGTGTTTACCATGCGTGTGCTCATTACGTGTGTTTATTACGAATGTGTTCATCATGCATTTGTTCATTATGCATGTGTTTACTACACGTGTGTTCATTACGCGTGTTTATTGCGCAGATGTTCATCATGCATTTGTTTATTGCGTAAGTGTTCATCATGCGTTTGTTCATAACGCATGTGTTTGTGTTGCATGTGTTAATTACATTCATGTTTATTAACTCATTCACTGCCAGACGTTTCCTGACCAGTTTCCCTTCGCTGCCAGCATTTTCAAATTGCATTTTTTTATTTAAAATGACAACTTTTGTCATCAATGGCAGTGAATGAGTTGATGAACTGACCTGTAATGGAATGTTTTATTATGTGAAGTGCCTTGAGACAACTCTTGTCGTGATCATCGACATATAAATATTGGACAATGGGTTTCCATAGGCTCCAATAACACGTTTTTGAAGATAAATGGGAGTGGCCACCACCGCCAATTTGACCGTGTCAAAGGTTCCGTCAAGCCCAGACAATTCCACAAAAGGGAAAAGAGGTGGAGCTGAGGGTGGGGCTATAAGGCTGGGATCAACTGACGACACCCGGTCGAACTAACTACAAGCTAACCTGAAGCTAACCCAAAGCTAGCGTGGAGGTGGGAGCTAAGCTAACGGAGGTAGCAACCTAGCTACAACCGGAGTTAACTGTGCACAACACCAGAGCTTCTGGGTCAGAGATATGCCGGGCTGACCGCTGGGTAAAACCGGGTAAAACAGAGGTCTCCCGAGAGCTCCACAATCCGGCAGCTGCACAGCAGACAAGCGCCGCTGCGATCTGAGATGCGCAGAGCTGCCGCTGGGGAGAACCGGCTGGAAAGGTTTCCATCCCAGAGCTCCACAAGTCAGACCGCGCAGCAGTTAGGAGCCACGATCAGACAGAGATGCGCCGAGCTGCGGGGAGGGGAGAACCACAAGCCGGCAGCCCGCGCAGCAGACAGAAGCTGCGATCAAACAGATGCGCCGAGCTGCGGGGAGGGGAGAACCACAACATCTTAGGTGTGTTCTTGCTGTGTCGTATTTCTAATTCCATGCTGTAGTTCTTTTTTAAAACACAGAGCAGTTTTTTTTACTTGTTTTCCCGCTACGTTTCGTTTGCGGCTGCAAACTTCCTCAGGCTGACGCTGATGGTGGCGTCACTTCCTTCTCCGTTCATCCGCGGGCAGCAGAGGACGTTGTCGCCCTCTGCTGCCCGCTCTCCCCTCTCCGACGATGCAGTCCCATGCGCGGTCCGTGTAAACTCCATCGTCCCTGTTCATGGTCCCACATCCACGTCTCCTTATCTCGATTGCTTCTTTTATCCATCTTTTGTATTTTTGTTGTTGTTTTGACTGCCGAAACCTACCAACCACAGTTTCACACACTGATTCAGACACAACATCAATAGTAGATTCATCTACCTGAATATTGATTAATTGTGAACATATTTGGTAATTGCTATTATCCATCCATCCATTTTCAGGCGCTTATCCAGAGACGGGTCGTGGGGGCAGCAGCCTAAGCTGACTTCCCTCTCCCCGGTCACTTGGGTCAGCTCTTCCGGGGGAATCCCAAGGCATTCCCAGAGACAGTCATTCCAACGTGTCCTGGGTCTTCCCTTGGGTATCCTCCCAGTTGGAGGTGCCCGGAAAACCTCACCAGGAGGCATCCTAACTAGATGCCCGAGCCACCTCAACTGGCTCCTATCGATGCAGAGGAGCAGCAGATCTACTCCAAGCCCCTCCCGGACGACCGAGCCTCTCACCCTATCTCTAAGGGTGAGCCCAGCCACCCTGTGGAGAAAATTCATTTCGGCCGCTTGTATCTGTGATCTCGTTCTTTTGGTCACCACCCAAAGCTCGTGACTATAGGTGAGGGTAGGAACGTAGATAGACCGGTAAATCGAGAACTTCACCCTCTGGTTCAGCTCTCTCTTCACCACAACAGACTGGTACAACGCCCGAATCACTGCAGACGCAGTACCAATCCACCTAACGATCTCATGCTCCATCTTTCCCTCACTCGTGAACAAGACCCCGATACACTTAAACTTGGGGCAGGACCTCGTCTCTGACCCGGAGAAGACATTCTGCCCTTTTCCGATTCAAGTAACTGCCACCAGTGCCTCCCTAATAAAGAAGTAAACAGCTTACCGGGCCTGGTTGGTTTTGAGCGCGTCTGGTTGGTGCATTAAAGCTGTATTATTTTTGTGTCCTTGTTGACTTTTTGCCTCAAAAACAGTAAATTACAATTAATTGGTCAAACAACAGAGGCAATTAGGCTCAAACGCAAATTTTGAGATTTTATTTACACATTACCATGATTATATGAGTATCATGTACTAAATTAAAAGCTGTAATAAGGTTAACTCTGTCTGACGAAGGCAGCAGTGGATGCAGAAGCATGTCAGCAAAGGTAAAAACGAGCTCTATTTGCTCTTGTGTGTGATGAAGAGCCACTAAATATGAAATCAGATAGAAAATACAGAAGGAACGTAACAAAGACTAACCCTTTAGTGTAAAAACACAATGTCCTCTCGAGAGGACGGGGCACCTGGAGCTTTCCATGATGGTTAAGATGTTAACAAGAAAATCTGCATCATTTCTAATAAACTACAGCATTACTATAAAGAGACGGTTGGCGTCATTAGCCTAAGGTAAACCCAGCCTTCATTACCGGGTTTTATTTAACATTAGCTTGTTTCTGGGATAACCGTGGCTTTTCTTTGAGCTGAAATCTGCTTGGCCTGTTCCTTATTCACTCTGGCGTGTTACCCAAAAGGACGGCCACACAGAAAGGCATCTGTCAAGTGACGAACTCAGGCATTTACGTCTGATCAGGGATGAGAAGTTCCCAAAGAAAATCAATGCATTAATGAGCTATTTGCTGCTTCCAGATTCGCTGCGAGGATCTGCAGATAGAAGGCGTTACTTACATCTCGTTTGCTTGAAGACCTTTTTGATTCTTCCCCCACCTCTCCACGTTTCGATCGTCTTCGTCTCCGGTGAGAATCAGATTCAGCGTTCGCCTTTGACCCGGTCTTTCCCAGGATGGTTGCGTTGGAGTGTTTGCTCTGCTGTGACCACACGGTGACAAACAAACAAGAGTATAGGGCAGCCGGTTGAAATAACCTGTCAGCGTGACCCATCATGAGGAGGAAGGTCACCCAAAAACAGCTGAATGATGGTATCAGCCCACCTGGCTGACTGATCACAGGTCAGCAGGAGTCCTCTTCAGATCGACTGAATAATGCAAAAATTACCACAGATGTGGAGTTACACCCCCCCCCCCCCATAAATAAATTACAGCAACTTTAATTCATGACTTGTGCTTTCCATACAGAGTAAAAAAAACATACTCTCCATGTGTTGTTGGCTTTCTTAGAGTATTTAGTTCAGAGTAAACAACTGCTTAGCTTATAGCCAAGTACTAAGAGTTTAATAAATGTGTAGACAGACTTCAAAATGTAAACACCAGCGAGATCACATCATTCATCAAAGCAAACCAGAGTTCAGAAGTTTCAATGTTCTACAGGTTCTGGTCTGTCTTGACATGACAGCAGCATGAAGCTCCCTCCATGATGAGAATCTCCCATTCCACCTCATTCCAGAGTTCTGCCCTGAGATCTGGTCACTGTGGAGGCCGCTGCTGTGGCCCCCAGACTCTGGACCTCTCTCTCCCTGCGATCAGTGGACTCAGTGGTCTCCTTTAAAGAGCAAGTCACCCCCTACCAGAGTATTACTCCACTCCCATGTCATGTTTGAAAAATGCAACAAATGCTGTTGCCTAGCAGACCAAGAGGGCGGAGCCGCTAACAAATACACACACACGCAGGCTCACAACGACATTGTGACATCATATGGTACCATCTAACATTCTAGGGTACCTCTTAGCCAATAGCGGTGGCAGATTTAAATTCAACTGCAGTGCAGAGTTTTTACCTGACAACAGTAAAACACTGGCAGTTTTAGGCAGAAATTTTAAATTTTAACTAAAATGCACTAAAGTGCAAAACTATTGACGACACGTGTCCGCAGCACGATTAGACACACATTTATATAGTTTATCAGAAAAAAGTTGACTTGTGGGTGACTTGCTCTTTAAAAAGCTGAAGACTCAACTGTTCAGGCTTTGGTGTGACCTTCATCACCACCCTCTCCTTATTCTGCTCTTATTCCTCTTTTCCCAGGAAAAACTGGACTCATGCAATATTCACAAAGAATAACATGTTTAATGTGGATTTCAAAAGTCTTCAGTCTGATGATTCCCATCAAATCCAGCATAAATGATCTAACACAAAGTTCAGCATCATCAGCAAACACCCATGTCTGTAGGACAGCCTTTAGTGATCACACCCAGCTCACAGATGATGGCAGATTTTAAAGCAGCTGTAATAAATGAGTTAAACCATAAAGTTAGGTCAGAAACGGAGGTCAGCATGTGCAGCTATTCTAATTCTGCATGATAAAGAAGCTTTGATCCAGATCCAAGAGTTAGAGATAAGATCTGTACACAGACTGTCCCATAGATGCAACACTGAGAGTATCGCACGTTGCAGTAGAAAGTAATTGTGAGTGTTAAAGTAACACACATCCCCTTCTGCCATGAAACGTCATAATTATCAGAAAAGAGATCATAAATAGTCTCACAAGTCACAGCTTCTCTTGGAGAGCAGTGGCTCAGCTGATATTTAAAGAGCAAGTTCACTGACAAACGATTTTTGACTTTTTTTAGATTTGATCAGTCACTCTGAGTTCTGAACATGCAGACTGAACGTGGAAATGGTTGTTCCCCCATTTCCTGCATTAGCCGCCAAAAGAAAAAAAAGATGGGGAAAGTCTTGGGTCAGAAAACCCCCCACAGACTTACGCCACACTGAAAATTGACCTTCATGGACTCACCCAGCTTGGCTCACGACGGAGAAGCCTGTTGTTGGTTTAGCATCCGGGAGAGAGTAGAGTCCGGCTTGGCCAATGACTGTATAAATAATGGATGAACCCTCCACGCTGTCACCTGTATATTTCTGGAGAGCTGAATTTAAGCCCAGTGGGCTGTTCCCACCACCGCCATCTTGGCTGCTTGAGTGTCTCGTCACTCACTTGAAATGCAAAATTTAGTTGAGAGTGGGGCTGTGAGGGTGGGGGCAGATTATATACACCCATCAGACTCTGAGTCAATGTAGCTACGAGTGAACTGGGCAAAAAGCTAACGGAGGTTGGCGGGAAACCACAGACACTGCTATCCTTTGCCTCTTTGGTCTTCCCTGAAGCAAGCAGGCGACAAGCTGCCAGCATTTAAAAAGATACTACCCTACTGCAACTTATGATTTCAAGCTTTAAATTTAAACGGATGTCTTAAGAAAGTATCCGGCACCTCAAAGTTGTCACAACTGTAAATTTGACCTATCAAGCATAAAAAGTTTTTTTGAACCAGGTTGAAGCCTGTTTCTATTTCTGCTGTGAAGTCAGCATTTTTAGCAATGCAAGTCAACGGGAACTTGAGCTTTTCTTGAGCCAGCCTCTTGCAGGTTAGGGGGGAACGCAATTTTTGTCCCTCGTTGACTTCACTTTTGGCAGGCAAAGTTTGCACCTTGGTGTTGTCCAGTAGAAGCTAATTGTTAGCGTTGGCAACTCCACAACATGGTGGAACTTGTTCAGGCTTGTTATTTGTGGCAGAGCGAACAGAGGCAGTGAAAGAGTAATGTTGCCGTTAGCCAATCAGAGGTGAGATGTCCAAATATCATCAATATTAATGAGTAAGAGTCCCAAACCTGATGTTTTCTGCCCCCTCTCCTCTGGCTAACATCTACTTCCTGAAACAGGAGCGCAAGGGCTTTTTGTCCACAGAGATTCACTTACAAGGTAATTCATTTAGAGACCACAGCAGATTTATTAAAATAAATAAATAAATAAACAAGTGAATGAAAGCTTTAAAAGGCTGCTTTTTGGAATTTTGGGGTGTGTTAAACATGGCTAACGCTAGCTTGTACATAAACAGCCATTTTGTTTATAATATTGCTAAAACTCTGTGTTTTATCAGCATTTCAGCAAAATAAATATATTTGGTGCTTCTTGTGGACAGTAACTGTATCCAACCCCCACAGCTACAGCCCCATACTTCCAGCACTAATCTAGTCAATGCTAATGATTTCATCTTGTTGGTTCCCTTATTAATATGCTCAGTGGTTTACTGTAACCTTAAGGGACAATTGATAATAAGTGGGATGGGTTCTCCTCAGAGACAATGTGCAGCACAGTGAAGTGCACAGAAACACGGGGCAGTGAATTAATATTCTGGAGGAGCTCAGAATAAATCAAATATTCATACCACAAACCTATCTCCCTTTTGTCATTTCATCTAAATGCCACCTCCTTTATAACACACCATCAGTCAAATCTCCTACATAGACTTTTAATGCTTTTGTCAGACTTGGACAATTTTGCTTCTTCAGAGATTTGAGAAGTTTTCTGAGTAATCGGTAAATGTTGGCTTGACAACAGCGATTGTATATTTTGTTGTGGCACGTTCTCGTGGATTGGGTGAAAGCTAGGCTTGTATAAGAAGGCTCCTATAAACCAGCTTAACACACACACAAAAAACAATGAATCACTCAAGTGCTCGAAATGACCCACATTAACCCTCTAAATGTGTCCTTGTATTAAAAACATTATAAAATTTTGCTGCTTAATTGTGAAGTGGTTAATGATGTATTAGTTAGAGTAGCATAAGCAAATGTATACAGGCTGAGAGTCAATATGAATGCATAATTTCCATCGAGGAGTCCCGGATGGGTTGGGACTTTATTTTATTGTCCATACAACCGACCCAGACGGCACCGATCATGGACTGCCTTCAGTTGTGGGTCCCTAAGACAACGGAGCGGTAAGACTAGGGCGGAGTGGCTAGCCTCACATGACACAGTCCACCAGTTGGGCAACTGAAAAAGTTGCTGCTTGTGTTTGCATCGGTATTTGAACACGGATGTGAGAAGATGCCAGAAAGTGGTAGAAAGGTGTGGCTGGCCTTCAGAATTCCTCACAATTGTCGGTGATGACCACTTACAGGACGGTTTGCATTTAGATTCAACCGTGTGATAGTCAGTGTTGGGCATCTTGTGTTAATAAAGTAGTCAGATTTAGTTACAAATGACTTTTTCCCAAAAGTAATCGAGTTAGTAACTCAATTACTACATTGTAAAAGTAATTAGTTATCTTGAAAAGTAACTATCACTTTAATGTTCTATAATGCAGTTATGTTCTTTAATACCTGTAACATGAAAGGTTTTGTTAACTGAATGATTCTCGCAACTTAAAATGAACACTTCAGATATCTGAAAAGTTCATTCAGTAAGAATATTCTTATAAATATACGGAATATTCACTTATACTAGGAACAATAGGAATATCTGGAATACATATTCAGTCTGCCTAATAAATGTTAAAAAGGTCACCTTATGTTTTTAGGGTATCTGATATTTCCCAATCTTAATTCCTACTAGTGCTGTTTTTATGGATATCCTTAATTATGATTTCTACTAATAATGACATAGCTGTTGATGTCTTCATTTGCAATTATGACTAATAAGAATACAATTAGGAAAAATTACATTTTTGCTATATAGAATAGGAAATCACAGAGAGGTCTGATTTTTGTTTAAATGTTAAAACGGCTTGCCACCGTTTGGTATTGCTTCATTCAGCCACATTATAGCAAGAGTAACCCCCAAATTCCACTACCTCCGCTCCGGTCCGCCCCCGCCTTCCGCAGCCGCTCGCTTCCGAACTCAATTTTTACTGCTACCCGCCAGGCACGTGCAGAGGGGGGGGGGGGGGGGGGGGGGTGCTTGAGACCCTGCCCCTTTTCTCCCATGTGCCCAAAGTGCCCTTTTTGAGGTTTAATGATTTTTTTAATATTTATTTATTTATTTATTTAATTTTATTTTATTTTTTTTAAGAATTTTCTGTTTGTGACCCCTCAAGAATAACAAAAATTAATAATTAATAAAATTTCTGTTTAATAATGTTATATAGCTGGCGTGAGTCACGTGACCATACCGTCACGTGACCATTCCGTCTCTTCCTCACGCCAGAGCGCGCAGCCGGTCACAACAAGCTGAAAGCAAGCATACAAAAAAAAAAGCAAAATCAGCTAACATCTCACCTGAAGGAACATCTAACGATGACATCTTGAAAGCCGTAATGGAACTATCTGGCCGCTTTGCAGCGCTAGAGCAAAAAATAACTAAAAATACCGAAGTTATCGCTAATGTCTGTGATCAGCTAAAAGCAGTTGAAATGCATGTACAGAAGAACGAAAACATGATTAAAGATGTATCGGAGCAGTTGGTTAAGGAGCAGCAAAGAAGTGATGATGCCGAACGATACAGCAGACGATGGAACCTGCGGCTGTATGGCAAGAAAGAAACACCGGGGGAAAACATCAGAGAGGAGATAATGAAGCTCTTCGTTGCGCTTGCACCAGAGGATAAAGAAAAGTTGGATTTCCTTGTTGATACTGTGCACAGGGTTGGTGTAGTCCGGGACAATTCCACTCGACCTGTCATTATTCAGTTCACTATGCGAGCTTTCAGAAACAAGATCTGGAAGGTATCCCGTGACAACAAAACACTTAAAGAGAAGAAACTGTTCCTGAAGGAAGATCTGACACAGGCTGACCGGATGGAGCGAAATCGGTTGTGGCCGATAGTGGAGGAAGCTAGGAAGCAAGGAAAGCGTGCTGGCTTTAGAGGCCCTCATGCTTACATAGAAGGGAAAAAAGTTACTCGCTAGATGTTGATTTAAAGCTGTGTGACGATGGATGCTGGTAAAATTATTTTCAGTTAATACTTGAAAAAGGTTTAAAAAATGTGCATAAAGCAAATGGGTACTTGCAGTTAAGGTTAAAGGTTCGTAAGTACTATTCTTTTATTATTTTTCATTTTTCTTCATCTTTTTTCTTCTCGGTGATTGTTATTGACATCAGCAATTTGTTCAAATATGGCAGGTTTTAGTTTTAAGGCACTAAATGTTTGTTCACTTAATGTTAGGGGTCTACGGGAAATCACAAAAAGAAAGGCAATTTTCATATTTTGTAGGAACTGCAATGCAGACTTCGTTTTTCTGCAGGAGACTCATTCATGCAAGGATGATGAAAAGTTTTGGAAGTCACAATGGGGGGATTCCATATTTTTTTCTCATGGCTCAAATCACTCTGCTGGCACGGCAATTCTGTTAAATAGATTTTGTGGTGACATACTGCAGTCTGTAATGTCAAATGAAGGTCGCTGGCTTATGTTGGCTGTGAAATTGGATAACCAACATTTTATTATTGGAAATGTTTATGGCCCAAACAATTCATCTCATGCAAGAACTGTTTTTCAGGAATTTTCTTTAAAGTTGGATTTTTTGAAAGCAAAATACAATAACCCCATTTTAATTATTGGAGGTGACTTTAATGATGTTTCAGATGATATTGTGGACCGGCTTCCTCCAAGGTTTACATCAATAAGTTTCAAACCTACTGAATTTTTGAGCGCAAATTACCAGCTTACAGATGTGTGGAGATATATGAACCCTGACGCTACACAATATACGTGGTCCAATTCTAGCAGGAGTTCCCAGTCACGAATAGATTTATGGTTAATGTCTACACATGGATTACAATATGTCACAGACGTTTCTCACTCACATGCCCCATTATCTGATCATAAATTAATAAATCTTAGATTAAAAGGAGTTAAAGAACGACCAAGTATTAGGGGCTATTGGAAATTTAACAATGACCTTTTGGAAGATAGAAATTTTAAGGAAAGTGTTTCATTTTTGGTTGAGAAAATTTTTAAGGAAAGAGAGATGGATCCAATTCAAAAGTGGGAGTTTTTCAAATATAAGGTTCGGGAAACAGCAATAAAACGATGTAAAGAAATACAGAAACAGAACACAAATAAAATGCAACATTTAATTGTTAAATTAGAGCCCCTAATATCTAAGCAAGACTTGTCTGAAAGTGAATTAAGAG